AGATTTGTGAGCCAGGGGTTGCACAGAGACCGCAGGGCGGTGTGACTGTAGGGAGCGATTTTGTTTATGGTGTTCTTGAGGACTCTTCTTGCTTTTTTCTTCTTTGGGGAATTACTTATCAGCTACTGTTTCATAATTGAAAAGCAACTATCCATGACACTTTTATCGCGGGAGCTGTCTTTAACCCAGGACTGCGCGGGTGGTAAGCGCGCCACTTGTCACTACACCACCCCAGCCCTCCAGTAACTATAGATACTAATTATTATTACCACCGAAGTTTCAAAAAAGTAGCCTTATTCTCGATTCAAACGTGCATTTAGATGTGCAAAACAGGAAGTAAACTATTAGTCCAAAAGGATGGGTTCACACTGATGATTCGCTTTAGATATGAATTATAAATAGAGCCGTATGTACGTTTTTGGTAACGCGCATTCATAGTTTGCCAATGCAGAGAAGTCGCAGTTTGAGATGATCCGCGATTCCGTGAAAGGAAACATACGCATAGTCAATTCAGGGAGATGTGCGATTCAACTCCGAAACATTGGCGACTAGGGAGTAGCCGAGTATCGATTGATTGGGCGCACCGGCAAATTAAATGTTCCCCGAATCGCGGACCCTCCCTTCGCAAAGCATGAACGCAGACGTGGTGTGAATGTTCAAAAGAGCTACTGCTTACATTTGAAGCCTGATCTGGAGTTGAATTTCCCAAGCTTGGGAAGTCCTGCGTTTGAGGGACAAATGCCGGTGCAACGTTATAACGAACGGTCCTGGTTCTGCTTTGTGCTGACGGTACGACAACGAATTCTTCAGGTGTCCTAAATAAACAATATTATATTAATGGAGAACAAAAATGACAGAAACGAATGCGACAAACGAGTCCACAGTACCGCTTTGGTGGTGGGGGCGGATCTTGCTGGACAACGGCTATCTTGTCACGTCGCGCTAATGGAGCGGCTGGAGCACTTGGTGGACCTTCTCGTCTGGTTCTGAAGCAGCAGAGCGAATCACTTAAGCAGAGTAAATGCGCTCAAAATAATAGGGAACTAACCGTGAAGGTCCTGCCAACTGGCGATCATTGAATTGAAAGTCAATTGCTACAGGGGCGCGACGACCACTATGTTCCTTTGACTGCAAATCGAATATCAAGCATGTTCTTCGGAGACAAAGAAAGATTTATATTGTAACTGTAAGGCTATTCTTGTCCAAGCAATTACTATGGTGAAGAAACCTTGGCTGTATATGCAAGGGTGTCATTTACACAATTACTATAGTTGGAAAAAAAGTCCTGCGACACTTTGACCGAAACTCCGACCAAATTTTCTTTCACTAACCGACATCTCCATCTACATGGTAATCCCTATTAATAACCAGCACAAGCGTCTACCTTATGCACAGCTTTTCGATTCCATTTTTGTAGAATTACTGCAACTACGTAAAAGGAAGGGGAAGAGCTCATTTTCAAGTAGACGTTGGTTTTCGAAATTTCCGCTTTCTAAAGGATGAGTTGAGATCAAAATAGTTAGGAGTTACAAGCTGCTTAGTTCGGCGAGTAAGATGGGTGCGGTAGCATTCTCTAATTGGGACCCATTATCTTTTAGCTTAGCCTTGTCGCCACATGCGATTTTCAAATTGCAGAGAAGTGGAAAGAAATTGAGTGTTTCGGAATGAAATCAAGCGGGACGTTACCCATGTTCTGAAATTTATGAGGGTTGACTATGGCCGCCACAAAGCCATCGGCATCACTTTGAAGTCCCACCAATAACACAGTGAAATCTTTCTTTCACGCACATCTAGTTTTGGCTAAGAAATTACCAGTTTACCCCTTGAGAGATTCTGTGAAGGTTATGAGCGTGATTTACGCAAGAACCCAGCTCTCGTTACCTACCACAGTGTCTCACTGAAGGTCCTTACAATGTGTATAAAAAAAAAAACTCAGCCACGAGCACTCGGCGCACTCTATCAGACTGTGCAACTCATGTGGCACATTGGACAGAGAATTTTCCCGTAACGGGATCGCGGAAAGCATGGCAGTTACCACTCAGTTGGAGCCTAGAGACGGTGCCAACTTGCTGGTGGTTACGTTCGATACGCCGCCAGGGGTGAGTAAACGGCCGTCATTCTTTGCTAAAGGCCGACCTACACTTTGTCTCGTTCGAATGAAACAACTCCAGTCTTACAAGCGCTGAAACCAGCGGGACACTGTGGCATTGCAAGCCACATCCTTTACTTAGACCAGGTGCTAGCTCCCTACGCTTCGACAGCTGGGGAGCTAATAGTCACGCACACCCAAACTATGTGTGATCGTACCATGTGTCATTAAGCTTTGAACGATTCCCAAGCCATAATATACCCGTCTACACAAACAACTGTCTCAACTAATCAGACTTTAAAACACTCGAAAAGCTTTCTGGATTTTTTCAGAGCAATTTATTCAAAAAGCCGCTGGATTTTTTTTAGTCTAACAGTATGCGAAAGACGACGCACCCGTTTAGTTCAGCGTCATTCGAAGAAGCCCTACTCTAGAACAAAAATTTACAGAACGTACCTGAAGGAAAACCGAAATCGCGAAAACACTTGTAAAAGTGTAGATAAATGAAGGTGATCCGAAACCCTTGCATAGTTTGCAAACGAAAAACGAAGGGGCAGCAGATGTTGCACTTTTGCGCTATTACAGCTTTCAAGTGAAATACAACTCTTACTTTGTGCAGATTGAGGTCCATTTGATTAGAGAAAGCAATTCCCATGGCTCTGCATTCCTCGAAATCGCATAAAAAGTGCTTCTCCTTGTAATGGTCCAATAACTCAGCGTGACCGCTGGAAAAAGTAAACGGTAAAAATGACACCGACAATGTGTACTTTGATAAATACTGAAGGGTAACCAAGACATAATGTTCACCCGAAAAACACATTCAGATGCTTGCCCTCAGTTTCACAAAACTGGCAGAAGAAATGCTCTTTTCGAAGATGTCGGTACCGGAATTCCTCGTCGAAGAACCGTTGATCGCAGAAGAGACAGGAAGGGTGTCCTTAATGGCAAACATATTGAGCAAAGTTACAAACGTAATTTTACGTTAACGTAATTAATTAACGTAATTTTTTTTGAGAAAAGAGTTATTAAGAGTCTGCTCTTTTTCTGAATTGCAAATACAAACTAACCAATCAGAGTATTGTCATACCTTTCAAGCTTTTGCACGTCTCTATCTCGGTACGAAATGGTGCCGTTGGAAGGGCGCCCGAGTATTAATGCATTCTTTTCCCTGGACATTAGAATATAAAGCGCCAGAGAGTGTAGAGTTAGGGTGTAGTGAAAAGTCTGACCTCGCAAAAAAGTATGATTTCTCCGTTAAAAGTGCAATTAATTCAAATCATAGCACCTTCGACATATGATGCCGCTAACGCAACAAAACGTTGGAATTCCAGATCGCTCACCATACGACTGAAGATAAATCCATCTAGTACTCTAGTTTCGGCTGGCGGACGGTGACTGTCAGGCCAGTACGGAGTTGCCACGGGCTGCAAAGCGCTCTCTGCCTTCTGTTTAAACGTGCATGCGACAACAAAAGGGCAAGTACGAACTATATCGATAACAGTCAATACCATTTGCTCGCCTTATAAAACTTAGTGGAGAACGGGTTGGCACCCGCCAAACTCTCCCCCTGACACGTCCCAAGCCGTCCGCATGCAACTACGCTATAAAGCTTCACTCAACTCACTACGCTGTTGCGAATATAAAGCAGTGAAAGTTCTCAGAGTGTGAGGCTAAAGCACGCGTAACTTATTACCTCTTACAAATTTTGCACACATGAGACAGATACTTCTCGTAACGTTTCAAAACATCCGCATTTTGAAATTGAATGGCAAATCGTTTCTCGTCCGGATGATTCCAACGACGAGAAACTGAGAGATGCTGTACCCAACCCAGCCGATACAAACATCAACCATAACTGAAAAAAATGTGGGATATTTTTATTCCAAGTGTTTCAAATGAATGCAGAGTGTGCATGGGGGGAGGGGGGGTGGGGTGAGGGAAGGGGCACTCACTAGTTGGACTAGGCACGTCCTGCCTGCTCATCGGTACTTTCTCCCCAAGAGGAGCATGAAATGTTCTAATATGACTTATATTGTTAGTCGAATATTACACTATTACTACATTGCTCAAAGTAGGTACATGTCGCCGTCTCGCTGCATCCTCTCAGCACCGCATGAACTGGGAGGATGCAGCGAGACGGCGATGCATGGCCTTGTCGCGTCACAACATGGCGTCCTCTCACGGGCAGAGAAAAAGTCAACGGTGGCGCGTACGCGGCGCGTGCCGAGCGATGTCGCTGCAATGGCGTGGTCAAAGGCTGGACACTGACAGGTGCTGCCGTCATTGCAGCTTGGTAGATTAGCTCATTATCAACCCATGTTCCCTTTCAGTCAATAGCGCCGGAGTGTACAGCTGTAAATATAGTAGCTAACCACATTGTAGTCAACATATCTCTCAGGAAATGTCCAAACTATTCAAGGAATCTGCTTTCAGCTGCACCTCAACGTCCTGGAGCTATTATCATCAGAGAGAGGTGCCCCTCCCGAGACTCGTAGCGCATTCAGTTGTAACATAAATTATGTCAAAAAACCGTCCACTCACCGTTTCCATGGTCGCTCTACATACAGGGCACTGGTTACTGCTCGACAGAACTCTCATTCGAATTGCACATTCTATACAGATAGGATGACGGCACGTCCCCAGTCCGAATATATCGCTCGATTTACAACAGATCGTGCACTCTTCGAGAGGGCCTTTTCCTATTGGAATATCGGCAAAATTGTCCTACAAAGTTGTAAAGTCATAAGTTATCAAAAAACGTAAAAAAGTCTAACCTTCGCAGATCCTATCATTTGTTCGTACTTTTGCATATTAACGTTGCGATACTGCAAGTTCTGAGCTCGTTGTTCACGAGACAGCTGCGAGTTTTGAGGAGCCGATTCTAAAAAAGGGGTATTTAATAAGAGCTGTCAACAACTTCCTTTCCAAAATATACTAAACTATTTGTTGCGCATACAGTGTAGCCGATATTTCACAATTCTCCAGAAAATGGTTTAGTGTATGCTTGAAACTAACTAGATTCTGTTTGGATACGCGCTGGAACGCGCCAATCAGTCAATATCCAAACAGAATCTGATTTTTAGCGGAATTCGAGGGCTAACGAGGCAGCCAGCTTTTTTGTCTTCCTCGACGGCTGCGCTACAAATTACCTCGGAAGAATAGGAAAATAGAGGGAACGGCGAATCGAGAGAACACGTGCTAGCGACCAGATGCATTGGTTCAGATAAACACCTGTGAAGCGCTTTCTCCAGAATGTCGCATTGCCACTTCACCAGTCCTCCTAATATACCGAGTTGTAGAACATGAACGTGGCCTAAACGGCGCAGCAGCCCACTTCACAATTCCTACCATATATTTCACTTTAGTAACTCCAAAAATAATGAGGTGAAACTAGTGCCAAAAACTGCTACACTGTGAAGTACACAGAAAGAACGACTTTTCGTGACGGAGACGGGCGATGGAATCGTAAATTCGCCGTTTCGTCGTGCGCGGCAATGGGCGCGACGTTCCCTTTATTGGAGCATCGGATTTCATGTAGACATGGTAGACACTTATGTCTATTTTGGTCATACATTGTCTATTCTCGACCAATACCACCTAAAATCGTCGTCATTAGCAGGCGCGACGTCGCACGCGACGCCCACTGGCGCGGCGAATTACGATTCTCTTGCCACATCCCTTGTCGTGTAGCCTACATCATACTAAAACAAGTAACAGCTTTAATTTCAACTTTCAAGGGGAAGCGGACTGCGTTAACTGGCAAAGGAAAAAGTTGACAGCCACATTACCAGTATAGGTGATTGATGCATCTTATGCCATGTGAAACTCAACCCTAAACGGCCCAAAGCATGAACAATAGTGCAGCTTATCACAGACTGCAAACGCATGTGGGTCGAACAACTGCAGCATTGCCAAAAATTGACAGTTGCAACCGTTATGTGACTGACAATGCAGCGGCAACCTCGAAAAAAGTCAAAGAAAGGAGAGTTTTGTGGCCTGAACTTCCGGCGCAATGACAGCTTGAAGGGAGATTAGACATTCAAAAGGACGAGTCAGAATCGATGGTTCCTTGAGCTTCATTCTGTTTAATCTTGCTGTAGTGGGTAGAACGCTACTCAAAATTTTATTTTTTCTATAGCGAGATCTATTTACTTCGGACCAGACATAAACGATAGGAAGAACTCTTCATAAGTAGACACTTCGTGGAGGTTCATTTTAGACATACGTAAGTTTAAAAAAGAACGAAGATATGGAAACTACTGACACGGTGTTACGTCAGGAGAACAGAATTACCGACAAAATTGAGAATGCTTTCAGAATGAATCCTCTGATCGGAAGATTTCATTGGGGCTCATGACCATTTTTCATTGTACAATAGCCTCAACCGGTGCTCAAGATAAGGAAAAAACATCGCAAATTAATACAATTAAGACCGGTTGGCTGGGTTCACACATTGCGAGACCGACTATTTTTTTCTTAAAGATGTTCGGCGATCTAACGTTCGATTGCCAAAACCTCAAATCGATACGTATCTAATCTGCTGGAGACGTGGAATGCATCGGTAAGAATCACAGGTATGGAGCGCGCAGTCAATGTTCTGCTTCGTTTTCGCGAATCGCTAAATCAGGAAATGAACAGTTCATGTGCGGGCAAAGTCTTCAACTGCTGCAGATCCTTATCAACTCACATTCGAAGCGAACCAAATGCAAGTCAGGGCAGCTTTCGCAGAGTCATTAACGGGCAGTCGCAATACACGCACAATGCAGCGCTCTATATGTATCAGTATCCAGCTTACCCCTGCGTGCAGTGAGCGATATACTAATGCGAATAACTACTTAGTGTACGAGTCAAAAAGCAGCTTAGAAAGGGCCTAGATAGTTATTGTACTTTTTTCATAAGATCAACTAAGATTCTCTTTCTGATGGCCGGCAAGTTTGGGATCGATGGTGTGAGGAAGTTCGCAAGCGGTATAAAGCAGCTATTTCCTCAGCATGGCTCACGATTCCAACCGCTAGCTATCTTCTCCTGCTGGCCAGTTACAGAGCTCGTTTGAACCGCACATCTGAATCTACAAGCTTGAAGATTACTACTTGCTTGAATCGCGTATGAAGTAGCACGGTTGACTATTCGTGTGCGTCTACGATTATACTATATAAACAACTCTCTAACAAAATTGTAGTAGCACGATCTGGCAGTAAATTGAACATAAGTAAGATGCGAGACACTATATTGTTTCCACCTAAGGCAATCGCGCAGGCATCGTACAAAGAAATGGGCCACATGGAGACTAAGAGCGCTAACGATCAAATCAAAGATGGATCAGCAAGTAATCAACTCCCACAATTAATGCCACTGCGACAAAAGCCGGGAGACGAGAAAAGCCGCGAGAATGGTTTGCATTGACCTTCTTAATATACAAGCAACGACGCCGAGCGTGCGTTGTTCTTAGGCATGCGAATGATGGACGCTTCTATATGCCGCCGTACTTGTCTCCTATAGGCAATCTATATGCCAAAGAAGGTCTATCTATCTATATACTTTCGGCAAAAGCGGCGCACGAATCAAGTGCACTGATCCTCGCGCACTTCCTGTTAGTCGAAGGAGAAGACATCGCAACATCATTACGAGCCTAATTGAAGTCTCTATGCTACACTGTGACGACATCCGGATTCATGAACGAAGTGTAACACTCTGTCTGCGTTGTCTTGACGCCAAGTACTACTAATTATTGACAGAAGCGTATAACGGTTACCACGAACTCATATCTTCGTCAGCAGGTCTGCATTAGTCCACAGCACGACACAGCTCTTTTGCATGTACTCGTACACTAGACAATGCGTGCCAAAGAACTCAAAGCCTCTGATATGATGACTTCACCCAAAAGCTTTATCTATCCAAATAGTGCACGCCGCAAGCCTATCACTTAGAAAAGTTACCTGTGTTCAAGCCTTGTATATCCATGTAACCTTAACACGGCGTACAAGAACCAGCTGTGTCGGCGATTGATCACAGCGCTTGCTCTTCGCGTCCCGGAATTTCTGTCGAGCAGAAGCCAATCTTTCGTCTGGTCTCACTTTCTGATGAGACCAAACACATTCAATCACCCAATAACGAGATTGTACTAGCTCTCCCTTGCTCCATGCCCACGTGTCCAGAAGCCAGCTTAAGAATGACAGCAATGCCCGTCTCACAGATCATCGACGAAGATTTTGTCGAAGTTTCTGTGTGGCATTCCCTATCTGCATAACACAGAGCGTGTAATCCGTGAGCTTCCGAGGTATATCATGTTCACAGAGACGTATAACTTACGACTGAGCTCTGCATAAAAATAAGATAACAAACCCCAACGCAGAAGAACTGTATAATATCGAAAGTATCACACTAATGCAGGAGGCAGACGGACCGATTCCAGGGATTTGTACTCAACTGGTGCGTCGTCGTTTAGTATACTGTTCTGTTTGCACGAATAACTGCGCCGCTAAATGTACAGCGGAAAAATTTGGGGACGGATTTCCCGCTAAAGCTACCGTGTTTTGGCGGCCGCAATCTAGCTGATTCGTTGTGAGAGCAGCGAATAATAGTTTCACCCTAGTAATGCATCAGTCTCACTACTACAATATCATTCACAGATTGCCATGCAGACCTGTGGGACCCCGCTAAGTTTGTTATCTCTGATGAATGCGGTAAGAGGCTGCGTCAGATCTGTCGCGATAGCGCGGCGATCGCTGGTGATACGTCTGAATTGGATTCTTTGTCGTGTGCATGTCAACTAGCGATGCTGCTGCGAGATCCCACACATACAATTCAAACTTAACTCTCAACAGGAGGCGACATGTGCGCTCAAACTGAATAAAGTTTGAGTGCTTAGAGGCCTAACACTATTGGTGGGTGAAATTAAGGCATGGCCGAGAGGAAAGGTGAGTGAGAGCATGGTTGACTGTAAGTACACATTATAGGGATTCTTATATAATAAGAGAGAGCGAGGTGCGTCTGTCTGCTCAATCTTCTCTATTTATATCTCTCTACATGCACTATTGCGCGATCTTCTATACTCATACACACCTTGGTTTCCAAGCAATCACGCAAGATAGGGAACATGGATAAGGAACATTTATCCGTTGGTAGGAGTGGAAACAGTTTTGATTCGAAACTAGTAATTAACGATTTACTCGAATATTAGGTGTGGTACTAGATAATAGTGATGGTGCACTCAGAGTATCTAGGGCCATAAGTGCCACGCAACACAGGTCCTAGCAGCGACGCTAGGACGTATTTAGCGAGTTCCAATAGTTTTGCACAGCTATCAGGGGAAACAGAGACCTAGAGAACATTATTGGTGGTCTGGAACACAAAGTCATTTGACCCACATGGTGTGTAATCTACACTGATTTAGTTTGGAGAAAGTCTTCCAATATGAAAAGGATTATTAACCCAGAAAATCGCGGTATTTATCAGTGGACTCAGATGGAAAAGTTTTAGCGAAAAGCCTTCAATATAAATAGAAAGCGAAGCGAGGGCAAACGAGTCCGAGATCACCTAAAATTCATAACACCCCTCGACCTGTCCCATATTATGAGTCGGCCAGCAGCAACTGTCCGTAGCGTGGGCTAACTCCCGCCATAGCTCCAGAGGGAACCATAACTTGTCTTGATAGTCTGTCTGGAAAGGAATATGATAATATACTGTGCCGATAGGCAAAGCAGAGAGTCCATTTTGCGAGAGTCAAGCATTGATTGGCTGGGCTTAAGCCACAGAGATGGAAACATTAGCATACAACTCGATGATAGAGGATAGGCTACAGAGATAATAC